AGTTTTGTGTGAGATGTTCAGAAAGTCAAAGTTTGGACAATTCTGGGGAGGATTATAGACTGTATATATCTTGAATTGGTTTTGACATTTCCAAACATTTAATCTGATTATTTCACATTTGTCTTGTGTCGAGCTCATACTCTTGATTAGGTCGTAGTGTGAGGTGAGGCCTTCTTTTACTCCAGTTAGAATTCCACTTGCAACTTGCCGGTATTTAGGTAGATTGTACAGGGTGTAACCTGATAATTGGTAGTACTTCAGTTTGTCATCCGAAATGTTAGCTTCCATAATTGTGAAAATGTCTACATCATAGGTTTGTAGGATTTTCTGTACTTGGATCTTTTTGTCCGGAGACATTCCTCCAGCATTCCACTGGAGGATCTGAAGACGTTGTGATTCGCCCTGACGAGGGCGATTTTTCTTATAGCCTTTTTTAAAGCTAATCATAATAAATTGAAGCCAAAAACGAATGTCGAGTGATAGACTTTTTTTGCCGTACGAAGATACGTTGTCCAGGGTGCACCACGTGGAGGTAAGTCTATCGCGCACCCCCTATGTAATATACAAATTAATCCTCTTGGTATCTGGAGAATCCAGCTTGTTATTATTCTGCTTAGATTCCAAAACAATTGTTACCTTTAAAATTTCAATTTTATTTGGAAAAGATACTAACACATATATTTTACTTTAATTGTTCATGTTTTTTTGAACTCATTAGTCTTCTGCTATTTTTCTTCAGTTGGTTGTCGGAATCTTTCCAGTCTTTTCTGTGAGAAATGTTTAAATTTTTTGTTTGTCTTGGGTGGGGGGTGGGGAATATTCACTCTTGTAACTTGTGCAGTTGGTCGTCACATCGCTGTCTTTTATGCTGAATCGATTTATATTCAAATTATGTTTTAATGAATCAGTCACGATTGCCTGTAGAAATAGCTGCCTCTTATTTCAAATCCATTCCTCTCACCTATTTCATTTTACATTTTTATTATAGATAATTTACTGCCCGTTAGTCAATAAAAATTGTCACATTGTTTACTGAGACCCTTAAACTTTTATGCTATTTTCATTCCCTCATTACTACTTTAACTTTCATCTCTTTGAAGATATTAACTTAAGAGGGAAAAACGCAAACAAAGATTGAAGTTTTCTCTTTTCCCATTATTTTTATTTGTTGTAGCTCTTGATAATCGACTGGGTGAAAAACTGAACGAATTCATACAAACTGGGTGAGTTTTCCTATTCAAAATATTTACCTAAATAATTTTTTATGTGAAATTGTAATCTTGAACCTTTTCCAGTTCAACATATGTTAAACATCATGGTCGCCGTTATCTTCTCCGCACCCCTACTTGCCAAATTTTGAAACAGCTAAATAATATTTCATGTAAGATGTTACCTACTTAATTCATTTAAGTACCAATAAATTATTATCATAATTTTTTATTTTTACTTAGCCCCAACTCAAAATTTTACTCTTCCTGATGATGTGGTAGTTGAACTAGTTCCGGCTACTCAGGTAGTTGCTTGGCGTGTATTGGAAGCTGAACAAAATCCCCGTTTACGTCTAATTGTCGATATAAACCGTCAACTTTCGGATGTTATTAGCATCACTGAGGTGAAGTGGACCCCTCAAAATGAACTTATTGTGAGTTCTCCCTGCCACTTCTTTATTTCACTTCCTCCATTTCTATTAAAGCCGACGTGATTTTATTCTTAGACTGCTTCAAGTTGAAATTAAATCTTTCCTTGCCAACCACTTACCTCGGGTCTTTTTTGCTTTCATATTTTAGTTTACTACGCTTAGGAATTTCAGGGCACCAAAAAAGCGAAACTTTGATAGTTTTGAATGTCAAGGACTTTCGTAGTCATCAGGGTGTTTGGCTTGTTTATTTAGTTGGTTCCTCTAAAAACCTTTGAACTTCAATACTATTACTGTAAATATTTAAAGATTGAGCTGTTATTGATGAATATGACCGACTGAAGTAAGTTGATTTCTGCAATCACTATTTACATATCTTACTGTGTTTTTTTACTGTGGTTTTCTTACGATATTTAGTGAGTTGTTTTTGTTATTTAGTAACAACTTAAAAAATGCTAAATTATGGCATAATCATGTTAGCTTTTTTTGATTATGGGTAAATGACTGAATATAGTGTGCTATTTGACAACCCTCTAATCTAGTTAGGTGGCACAGTGATAGTTTCTGTGGTTGGTGTAATCCACGATGCTTTTAACGGTGTCGATTGACTTCGGATTAGAAATAAATCTGTTTGCTATTTTTTTCGATTTCCTTGATGAAACATTACGGTAAAATTTCATGAATGTACTAGGTCAATGACTGCCTGACAGGTTAGGTTAAGACCATGTTGAATCATTCCACTTTCTCTGGTAGAACTAGAGGAATTGAAGTTGTGCGACCATTGCAATTATGCAAGTGAGTAATGAATTTGCTCGGTCGAATCAAGGTACTTATTAAGACACTATCTCGTAAACGGAAATCCAAATTATTGAATGATTGAGGTCTCTTTTATATCTTAACATTAATAGGACTATTTTATGACCACTTCCTCATTGTCATTCATTGAGCTTACTGTCACCCAATCTCAATTGCTCTTCTCCATTGAACAATTGTATATGTTTTATGTGTTGTAAACAATAGTAATAAAGATTATCATTGATCAATGCCAATGTTTTCCTCCAGTGTGCGTATAATTGTGTCCCCTTTTGAGTACGCAGAGAGGCAAATCTTTCGAGGCGATATGACCAACTGTTCATCTAAATTTGAACCTTAAGTCTAGACTCCAAATCCTGAAATATGAACTTGGCATTATTTCGAGTGCCAATTGCGCATTTCACAAGCGGATTTTTTTGGTTCATTTTGTGTCCAGGCCTGGTGGACGAAACAACTCTGTCAGTGTTTTTTCCCTATGTGTGTGTGTGTGGAGTATGCGAGATTATCTGAGTGCAGTAAAGTTAGTTGTTTTTTTGGCTAAGGGTAAAACCCTCCTACCTGAATGCAGGGAGAGTGAACAGCAGACACCGTAATCCAATTTGGTTCCATTAGGGCTTGAACACACACACGCACCTCCCAAGGCTACCAAAGCTGTTACTCTGATTGATGACTAAGGCCTTGCAGTTTGCCTATGCGAATTTTGGCTTCACTAATTTAAATCAGAAAATATGGATTCAGCTGATGCGCTAAATTTAGGACGACCTACAAATCATTGTTGATGACGTGTTAGAATCCCTGGTTGAATCAGTTCCTCAGTTGGCACACACTGTGAGAGAAAAAGCGATTTCCAATTGCGAGTGAAGTAGAAAGCCATTTGAACGCGTAATTTAAACATAAATGACATTATATGTATACGGAAAGGATGTAATTGTCTATACGTAATGCTTACAGAATTAAAGGAATGCCTGACTCTTAATTTCATTAATCTAATTAAAGATACACTCATGCTTTTTTAAATCATTTCTCTGGCATGAAAATGCAAATATATATATATATATATATATATATATATACAACGCAATCTGCTTTATCTAGGAGGCTTATTGAAAGATACCTGACGTCTATTATTCCAATGTACCTCCACTTCTAATACTTCTTTTTTAGTTGCAATTTACTTATTCTTCGTCTTCCTCCTAAAAAAATACTTGTTAAGCGGTCATTTATAGTAACGCGACATCAAGTTGATTGAAAATTAAATTTTGTCGATAGAATGGTGAGATCCCTTTACGTCTTGGTGTTAGAATGATTAAATTTTTATCTGGAAGCCATCTTAGAACAAATACTGGAGGTGATGCATATTCAAAACTTCCCTCGAATGATATTAGAATACCGTCCCTCGAAAATTTCTCCTCCAACTAGGAAAAAGCAGATGTATTCCAATGTCACCGTTCATAGCAAAGAACCTGTTTCTATTTTTCCATTGTGAAATTATGCAAACATTCAATTTTGCTTTCACTACAATTTTATCCGCGCGCCAATGTTATAATTCCGAGATTTGTTTTACTCCCAAACTGTGAATGAGCTGTTTCCTTATTTCAAACTATTTAATTTCTATCGTTTTCATCATGTTCAAGATTGCG